CCACTGGATTCCGCACTTGGTGCTTCCTACAAGGGTTGGGACCAATTTGGAGGCAGGTGTAGGGGTTAGATTCTGCCTGTCCATGCTACAAATGTAGACGCTGGAGTTTGCTGGAGACTGCCCTTGATTGGCAGGCATCACCCTCGGAGTCCCGCTTTCATTGCTTGCGGGGTACTTCTGCAGGCCGGCACGTCGCTTACTCGCGACCGTGTCCCTTCACTGCCCTTCATGGCTTTGCCATGAAATCTCGTAAAGAGAATCTGGGGAATGCGGTCAATGCGCAATGTAAGGGCCTTTGTCCATGGGCAAGTACCACTGAAGGGGAGCTGCCCCACTTTGGCTAGTTCGCCCCTACGCACATGATGGCAGCCGATGAAGGCAAACGTGCACCATTTGATGTCTTGGGTGCATGTTCGCAATTCGCGAGACCATTCTTGACATCCCGACCTTGTTCCTGGTTCCGGATCCATACCAGTATGGCCAATGTCCTGCAATGCAGGGACCATGACCTGGGCGGCTTCGTTACATAGCGGCGGCAGTCGTAGGAGTAGCAGTAGTCGTGGTCGTCGTCGTCGTCGTAGTAGCAGCAGTAGTAGCAGCAGCAGCAGCCGCAGTCGTCGGAGTAGTTGCTAGCGACTGATGTTTCTATGATTGTTATCACTGCTTGTTATTACTCTTGATAGTGTTATGATCATGATCGTAGTCGTCGTCGTCGTCGTCCTCATCGTCGTCGTCGTCGTCGTAGTAGTAGTAGTAGTACTAGTAGTACTAGAAGTAGTAGCAGCAGCACTCGTACTACGAAGCAGTGCCATAGTAACTATAGTAGTAGCAGTAGCAGGGATGCAGCCTAACCTGCCAAAGAACCAGAAATCGCGCAGCAGAGCAACAGATCCGTCGCCAACAGGGCCGGTCCAAATCACAAAACGGCAAAACCGTGCACCGCGCGAGTTCCGAACTTCCAGTCCTCGAGCTTCTCGGACAATGCCTTTCAAAGGGCCAGGGATGCCAGATCATGCCAGACGCAATACCAATCGAATCCGACGTCACGGGGCAACGAAGTCAACGCCTCAGAGGAGCGCGTGCCATAGTTCATTCAGAGCACTCAAGCAATTCAGCGGCCTGTCTTGAAAATGTGAGGACCAACGAACAGAAAAGCTTTTTCTGCAATGCACTTGTTACGCCGTTACGGCATGGCCAGCAACATCATAACATTTTGGGGAAACGCTTGCTGCCGAGATTCTCCGTTTGAGTTCCAGCTTCCTTGCAGTTACAAAGCATGTAGACAAGCCGACATGTGGTCATTTCGATTGTTCCAGCTTCAGCCTCATGCATCGCAGAGTCAGTCAGCAGTAGGGTCAACCACCAAACGTGTGTCACGTGTGGCCGACAGAGTCCACCTCAGAATTTCATTCAAGTGCGGAGAGAAACGAGCGTAGTGCTGACAGAAGCACTATTCACTATGGCTATGCTGTTGGCCACAGGACCTGGGTGAAACACCTGGTCATGCTTGTTACAGCCTTCTTCGGCGCCTGGGCTTCGTGGCTTTGCGCTTCCAACTTGCTCCGGTGTGCAGAGGCCCATGCCCAAACAGCCTGCGCACTTGTGAGTTGCTAGGGCAACAAGGCAATGGCGATGATACAGGTCTGCGTGCACCGGCTTGTGCCCTGATGTCTCGCTGTTCTTGAGCTGCTTGGGCAGGTTGAGTCCCAAGTGCTGAGTCGACACATTATCAACCTGGTCATTGTCATAGGTGGGAGCACAGTGGAGATGAAGAGAAAGCAAGCGTCGCTGCGACTGGTGCAGGACTCGGTTTCCTTGGGCTCGTCGCGCAGATCTTATGGCAGCCGCGCGGGGAACACAAGGTGCGTGGCTTGGAAAGCAAGCTTGGCACCGCTGTTTGAGATATCGCGAAGTTTGCCTGGGGATCTTTGAGCCGGGCTCAGTTTGCTGCCAAGGCGAGGTGACGGTGACAGGAGGGGTGTGACGTCGGTTGCATTCGGTTGCCGAAGGAGTGCCTCGATTCCTGCCATCACTTCCGTTTGCTTCGCTTCTTTGCATGCTTTAGCCTTGAGCGGGTCATGTGCGGGTCGTGGTGACTCAAGCCAGCGCGATGTCGCAGTGTACAGGGCTTGTCACTCGAGTTGCTCCTGCAACAATGGAAGACCGTTAGGCTCCGTCTTTGTAAGTGGCTGGGACAAAGCTTCGGATGCTTGTGATTGGGCGCGCATTCCAGTTTTATCCTTTCGGGGAGCCTGGCTTGCAAAGTTGCTTCCTCCGCCATGATCAAGTAATTTAATCAATTCAAATTATGCAGAGGCCCGCCAATGATCATTCCACTCAAGCGCAGTGTTGTGATCGTGAGCTTCGTGCTACTGGCAGTGCGCAAGTCTACGTGGAGTGGCACAGCCCGCGTCTCGAGAGAAGGACCTGCAAACAGCAATCAAGGGTTGCATGCCAACCGTCACGTCAAGCATCAAACTACCGCACAGTATGGTATTATACATGGTAAGGGCTGTGGAAAGGCGGAGCCAACACGGAAGCTTTATACTGTTGCCAGATGTTGCGAGGATCCACTGCAAGAGTGGCTCGGAAGGATGCGAGTGGTGTTGATGGTGTGCTGCCCGGGTGATGGGGTCCATATATTGCATGTATGCAGTCCCACTCAAGATCCACAATCGGCCATATTTTCGGGCAAGAACTCCAGCTCTCAGATCATGTCGAGAGTGGAACTTGCTGATAGGTTCAGGTTTGAGGGATTCAGGGTATATCCCGTGGGCCTCCTTTTACGGTTTGGAGTTTGCGAAACACAGGTAGTCTTGTTCGAAGTTGGGTGTCCGCACCAGCTACTCCTTCAGGCTGGGGCCACCCACTCAGTTTTTTGAGATGTCCGCACCCACCCGTTTTTTGCATTTCTGGCGGTTTGGGTTTTGCACCAGCTGAATCCTCTTAGGGTTTCGGGCTTCCACCCACTCCTTTTAAGGCTTTGTTATTTTCTGGAGCAGCTACTTGTCTTTTGGGGTTTTGGGTTTTCGCAGAACATACGCCTTTTGGGTTTTGCTTCAGCACCCACACCCACAGCTCATTTTAAGGTGTTGGGTTTCCACACCCGCCTGCTCCTGTTTGGATCCTTTAGGGAGGGGTTTGGGTTGTTGATGTATTCCTTTTCAGGTTTTGCACCCACCGACTCGTTTTAAGGTCTTAGGTTTCCCACCCACTTCTTTCAGGATTTCGGGCTTGCCAGAAAAACTACTTTCCGGGTTTGGGTTTCCGCTCCCGCCCATTCCTTTCCCAGGGTTGCGGATTTTCGGACCCACCCACTCTTGTTTTTTTCAGCACCGTGTCCTTTAAGTGTGTCGGGTTTCGCACCCACCCATTTCTGTTGCGGTTTGCGGTTCCTTAAGGGGTTTTGGGTTTCGCACCTACCCCCTCCATTTAAGCTCGGTTTTGCACCGTTTGGCACCCACACACTCCGCTTAGGCTTTTGCATGCCGCACCCACCCACTCCTTTGAGCTTTTCGCTGGTTTGAGTTGTGGCAACGGCTACTCCTTTTAGGGTTTGGGGCTTCAGCACCCACCCACTCCTTTCTTTTCTGGGGTTTCGCACCCCTTCTAAGGATGGGAGTTTACGGAACCATGTACTTTTGTCAACTCTTTTGTTAGGGTTTTCGGCTTGCGCAAGAGCTAATTGCTCCTCTTGGGGTTTTTGGTTTTCGCACGTGTCGGGCTTACAAGCCCATGCCTTTCTCTTGATCTGAACTGTTCCTTTGCTTGCTGATCCTTCTAGCCGCGAGTGCATGCTGAACCGCGGACCCGGTCCCGAGTTAAATCAGGGGCTGATCCGTTTCCACCGAAAAAGTTCGCAGAAGCGTATGATCCGAACGTTGCAACATGCCTCACAGCACCCTCCCATAGCTGCCAACAAGCCCTGACGAACCAAACAGTCCGAGAGAAGCAGTCCCGGTGCCTTCTACTTAGTCGTTGAAGCCTGCTGCCACCGCGGCCGGACACACCCAGCCTGCCGGGCTGCCGGATAGCCTGGCTCTGCAGTCGGCAACGGTCGGCAGCGATCTGTGAAGGTCCAAACCGGCTCCAAACCAGAAACTTGAACTGGCGCCGAAAAGCCGCAAACAGTCCAAACCCCGTCTGTCCTAGCTGGTGGGAGGCAAAAAAATCCAAGTCCAAACCTCAAGGCCTTTGAATAAGGCCCCAGACCTGAAACTCGTCGCCCAGCATGCGTATGATGGCCGAAGTTGCGTAGGATCGATCGAAAAATATCGAATAAAGCCTGGAATCCATTGAGCTTGATTGCCGACCATGGTGTGACCTCAGTTTCACGCATCAAGCTGTAGCACAGTCATCGAGAAAGAGTGTACAGTTGGGCAATGAGTATGGCACTGAGCTCCAATCGGACGATAGCAAAAGCAAGGCGACAGCGTTTGAACTCCTTTGCTCGTTTGCACCATTTCGAAGCGATGCCTGGATGAGCCGCTCCAGCCCGGAGCGCCGTGCAAAGGCCACCGAGGGATCAACGAGCTTCGAACCTGGGGCAGGCTTCCATGTCTGTTGCACACTTGTGCACTTTCTCCGTCGAAGTTAATCTTCTTGGGCCCGCGAAACGGCAATCAGTGCATACTCCAAGCTACCAAAACTAGCATGGCATTTGAGGCCGTGTAGTTGCAGGACAATTCGATTCTTGAAGTGGAGACCCTTCGCCGAAGGGTTATTCTCCGCGTATGCGGCCGTAATAGCCTTTCTCGCCAGTATAACGCCTTCGGCTGGGCATTCTGTACAATTTGCGCGTGCACTACGGCAGCAAAATTGAAACAGCGGGTGACCTGGCATGCTCGCACAAAGGCAGACTGTTGTACGTTTCTGCTTGCAGTGCGGGCTCACCTCTGACCATAGTGAATGAACCGGCATTCGTGCATGTAGTCACTGCTCGGTTGCAGACCCCAGACCATGCGGGCGGCGCTGTACAGAGCTTGCACTTCTACTGTCAGGGCGATGGACGACTCGCGGGCGGCTCTCGGCCAGGCAGTCGAGCACAGAGGCCCTTCACGAACTGTGGTGGCTGTTGTGGCAGAAGCTGTCGGATGCTGTAGGAGACATGTCCTCTCACACACATCTACACCGTCTTTTGCGAAATCTGAAATGATGTTCTGGTGCGCAGCCGATGTGGCCGAGGCCATACTACAAGGTTCGGATTCCCGAAATGCTGCTGCCATCGCTTTGCCCTGTGAATGATGTGACCCGTGCCACGGCGGAAGCAGCAAGCAAGAGCATCTTTTGTGCTGCATAGCTTGTTCCAAAGCGACTTTCCGAGATGTGGCACTCCTCGCCAGATCTAGCAGGATGAAGCAGGGCAGTTGGTTGCCAGGACGGGAAAACTCAGCCACCAGCACCTTCAAAGGCCCGACGAGCTAACTTTCCAGCCTCCTGGAACCAACAACTTATCTTCGGACTTGTCGGAAGCAGGAAAATCGAGCACAAGCCATGTTTGTGATTACTGCTCAGGTGTGCGGAACATGGGCAAGCCGCTGCAAAGCCGCTATGGAACTTTGATGAGTAGAAGTGGAACTGGATCCATGTACCTTGGCCGACATTGCCGGCCTGGGCCAGCATGTGGGAGATCATGCATCGAATGTCGCTCCAATCAGGCCGGCCCTTCCCGCGACTCCATCGGCTTCTTCGTCTTGTTTGCCACTGCCTCCACAGCCTTCACAGCCACCGCCTGCACAGTCGCAGCATTTCCGATTGCCAGCAGGCGGGGGGACGGTAGATTCTTTCAAACACCGGCATCACGAATGCAGTTCTAGCAGTCTTAGCAGTGGTTGCTGTGATGAGGATTCATGTCTGAACGATGAGGTACCCTGGGTATCGTCTCACAAGTGGCCATACAGTATGCTGTGAACCCATTGAAGGACGGGATTGGTCAGTCCTTCGTACTCGTACTACAGCAAGAATTGAATGAATTGAGACGATTCATGCATCGGCGTTGTAAACAAGCCCTCTGCAGGATTCGCGGCTAAAACCATCTCCGCGTTATGAACTGCCTCTTGAGGCTTCCCCGAGGCTGTTCATCCGACTGTGCTTGCTCAAGCACGCGTAAGCTTCATGCCTGCTGCTTGACCTTTCCGTTGCGTTAGAGACATTGGAAAGACATTTGGATTCCGTGTCGCATGCCGCCCTGCCCCATTTCCGAAAAGTGCTAGGAGAGCAAGCCATGCACTCGCAGACAAACATGACGCCGCTGGCTCGTACTTTTCAACCCGCTTTCATCTTGACAGAGCATGTTTCCAAGAAGGTGCTGTGCTACATCCGACCTTCATGATTACTAGATTTGTGCGTACACAGGCAAGCATAGCAGGCACGAGTTAGCCTGCTCAAACAACATGAGTTGTGCCAGCGTCACGTCATCGTTCTGTAGGAAATCATCCAGCATCTAATTGCATGTACCAACAAACATGGAACAATCACCAAAGTGGGGCCCGGGACGGGCCAGGGGAGGAGAGGTTCCAAGAAAGCCCGAGAGCTGTTCTCTTGGGATGTCTCGAGATTCTATCTAAAAATCATCGAACTGGCCCGGGACGGCCGGGGGGCGGGCTGCATTAGGACATGACACTCTCACAGTTTCGACGGGGCGATGTTGAATCAGGGCGGAGATCAACGATGGCCTGCTGCCCTTCAGTGTGGCTTACTGGGTTTAGGTCCTTAATCCGGTGGTTGCCAGCCTTCTGCAGGGATCTGCGCGCGGAGAGACTGTGATTGTCCAGTGGGCAGGGAGGAAGAACGTGCACATTAAAACGATCCTGTATCCACCATACAAACTTCCTTCTGCCACTGCAAATCCCTGTGCGTCGAATTGCTTGGACCTCTGCAGGCTCGCACGACGGAAGTCCGCCGAAATACCCCTGGAGGTGGCGCTGGATCTCGCGCTCTCTCTCTCTCTCTCTCTCTCTCTCTTTCTCCCTCTCTTTCTCCCTCTCTTTCTTTCTCTCTGTCTTTTTCTCTCTCTCTATATATCTCTGTATATATATATATATGTATACACATATACTATACACGCAAGCAGTCTAGAGACTGGAATCTCTACGAGCAGGAACGTACTGGCCACCGGCTTGAGAGCAAGCATATGTTTCAATGAAGCAGTGTTACACCGGCTTGAGAGCAAGCATATGTTTCAATGAAGCAGTGTTGCATGATTCAAAACTTGACAGAGAAACTTGCAGCACCCTCCTCCCGGAAAGATTTGCGGCCTCTGATTGAGGCACATACAGCGACCTGTCTGAAGTTTTCTGAAGAAAATCATGGCAACTTCAGCTTGCGATCTGTGCAGGTAGGCTCTTGTCCAGCAGCCCCCGGATTGCTCGCTGCAACCTGATGCGACCTTTGATGTGTGCAACTGTACACATTGTGATGGGCGGCCCCCCCGGAGTCCTTCACGATGTGAGTGTAAAGCGACCTTTTAGCTATTGGGCCACGGTTTTTTTCTGTGGAGGCCCTGGTGGTGAATGTGCTTAGATATCTGTATGCTAAAGATGCCTCGAACCCTTCAAGCCTGCAGCCCAGAGACACGAACCAATTTCGTGAACGGGTCGGACGGCTATGGTGGGATGAAGCCGCTGGGATGTCGATTGCTCGTATTTGGATCTGAGAATGGTGCCGGTTAAGTACTCTGTCTAAATAGCTTGAATAAGTTTTGTAAACTACCTCCATTAAGGATTCGCACGGGGCTTTCAGGACCTGCAAAATCTAAAATGATGAGCCACAGCGCGCAGCGCCGAAACCCTCTGGCTCATCATGCTCCAACCTGCCATGCGGGCTCGTCCAAGCTAAGTGGGAGGGAAAAATCATGTTGGAGCTTTCCAAAGCCTGAAAACTCCAAAAAGTTGAGCCGCAGGGCACCGAAACCTCGTGACTCAGCATTTTGGAGTTTTCAGCTCGAATCGAAGACGACTTGTCATCTTCGGAATCTTCGGATATCTTCGTTCGCAATAACCATGGGGTCGAAGCAGGAAAAGGAGTCAGTTGGGGAGCAGAGCAATGATGACGGAGGGTATGCACAGTCGAATCGTGTAAAGGACGCTAGGGGCAAAGCGTTTACACAAAGTTCTTGCTTCGACGAGGAGCTGCCGCTGCCATGCAGGGAATCCATCGCAGACTTGACCACCTCCGTGTCGCAGCAACTTGGCCAAACGATGGGGAAAGCAATAAATCCACAAGTTACAGAATCTGAGTCCTCCCGCTTCCGTCGTGCGAGTCACTCTACCCACCCATGTTCAGCTTCAGTTTCACATACCCGCAGGGTTACCCGCACCGAGCATGCCAGCCATTGCCAGCCCTGCGGGAGCTACATCGTGATTCTCAGCAGACACTGCAGATCTTACCCCGGATTTGAGCCAGCAGTCGTCTTCCAAAGCCTGTTCCATTTCAATCCGAACTGTTCCTGGTGCTGAGGGTACTGCACAAGCCCACTGTTGCATTGAAGCGCTCGATGCACTTGATGGACGGGCTGCAGACATTGCGTTGTTTGGGAAGCTCTGGTGCTGACGCCGCAAGCAGGCGGGGTTGAACTGCTAGACAACATGGCGCAGCTTGAGCAACTCTTGGCAGCCACAGACATAGACGAAGTAGCGTGGCAGGTGTGCAGAACTAGGTCAGTAGTGGGACATTTCGTCCTAAATCGGCCACTAGAGTCTCCAAAGCCCGGAAGCATTGACCACGCCCTTGTGATTCCTGCAGAGCATCAGACGATACCAGAGGCAGAGAGACCGGTCTGGAGTGCACACAAATGATACCTCGTTGCTGCCAGCCTCCGTGGCCAGGTCTCCCACGATTTCCCCACGATCACAGGAGTGTGACATGCTGCTAGACTCCTAGCCCTAGCGCGTCTCTGGATCCCTTGCAAAGACTCGAGACAGGTTCCGAATCCAAAGGGCGTTTGCAGTTTTAGGGTAGGTTACCCCTACGTCGTTACGTATGGGAGGAGGAGACTTGGGCAGATCCAACCAGCCCTGCCAGCTTGCTCAGTCTGCAGCTAACTGCACCGGCCGTCGGCCCAGACTGTGTTCTCAACACAATTCGCGACTGCAAGCTGCACCCGTGCGAAGGGCCGTTGTTCCCTAAGCATTCTGAGGACACCACTCCAGTAAGCGCCGCGAGCCCAGCATATCGCTAGACCCATAGGCGCCGAATGCCATTTACAGACGTGTTCCGTCCCCGATAGGCAGCACCGCAAGGCCGTGGCTGAGGGCTTGTGACTTGCGCCACACACCAACACAAAAGTGCCGACACGTCAACCAACTTCGGCAGTTTAAACTGCGGGCTGGACAAGGTTTGTTGAAATGATTTCGGACCCTGACACTGAGGCCGTTGAAATTCGTCAACAGCATCTCCCTCTGCCTAGTCCCCCGCACAAGAGAACGGAGCCTCTCGAGCAAACCTGGCCTGTAAGGGACCTGCCATGTGTTTGCTTTCGGTTATTAAGCAGCTTAGTGACCATAGCATGCCGTAGCCGCGAATACGCGCACGATGCCCCGAGCAGTAACCTCAAACTAGCCACTACATAACATCCGCTGACATGCCCGAGGCGTTTAACCCTTGTTTCAGTTTTGAGATCATGTTGCGTTTGTGCCGAGCGGCACATCGAGTTGAATGGCTCATCTTGCAAATCGAAATCCTCGAGATACTTACCTGCACATTTGCCACTTGAGAGTTGTAGTCTCAGGTTCGAAGACCGAAAGCAAGCGAAGAGGCCTCAATGAACTGCAGATGGCTTGAATTGGCCCTTCATTTATCTGACACCTCAGCCGCTTCATGGTTTGGACACGCATGCGTCTTGGAAGCTTGCAAGACGTCTCATCGACGACGAGAAGGGATCGTGAAGCAGCAGTAGGGCCCATAGCGGTAGGATCAGGAAGCACCAGTCAAAACCATCCTTAACTGTTTGCGCCTGTCTCCAAGAGGCGTGGCCATCAGTGAGTGCTATGCGGGCTGGGTTTTCGAGGATTTTGCTAGTGCCCTGACCTGCCGAGTGCGGGCGTCGGAGAGGGTTGGAAAAAAATTGAATGCGTGATTTGTCACTGACTCGCGTGCACGTACACCTTGGTTGCTTGTTACGCATCATGTCTCACTCGCAGCTTGACTGCTGAAGACGCACTCCGCGTGCGGCCCCAGCAAAAGGTCCGCGCAAACTAGAACTCTGATTCGATCTCCAGCATTGCTTTGCCTGCCATTGCTATTGCTTTCCTTGCCGCTGGGTATACGATTGGAGGCGCACTACTTTGTAACCAAGAGTTAAGTGGATTCCTCTGCTTTTCACTGGTTATCAGCCGTAGGACCTCTTGCTTCCGATTGCGCATCTGCTTGCTGCTGCCGCCCTTGCACTCCGGTCATCTATCCGACAGGCTCCTGACATGCAACCGGTATCCTGGCGCCACTTGCCCCCCGTGCGGATCTGTGCTAAGTAGCACCACAGAGAGACGATGACTCCGATTGGGGCTCCCCGTGTTCCTTCCACCGTCGCTTCTTCACTAGTGACGCCGGTTGCTCGGAATGATGCGGAGCCCGATGATAGTTCTCTCGCAGCTCGCCTCGCCATACCTGCCAGCCTTGCCGCTGCTACGCCTTTGCATGCCACGCCTGCCGAGGTCGATCAGAGTTCTTGCCGCCGCAAGTGCCGCCTTTGCCTTGCGCCGCCGCGATAACAGGTAACGCGCGCAACCTGCATCCACTTGCTTCTGCTGCCGATCGCGCTTTGCCTGCTTTGCCGTGCTTTCCTGCGAGTACTGCTGCCACTGCGGAAACTAGACTTCTGATTCGATCTCCAGCATTGCTTTGCCTTGCCATTGGTATTTGCTTGCTGGGTATACGATTGGAGGCGCTGCTTTGTGAGCAAGAGTTAAGTGGATTCCGTTGCTTTCACAGAATGCCCCGACGATCTCCGAAGTTGTGACCATTGACGCATCTATAGTCTATTGTATATTTATTGTAAGGCGCACGGTAAAACCATCGAATCGGCGTCAAGAGGACAACGTTACGAATAACCGTTAACGGAAGGAAGGGGCAGATCACAGGGTCCTGCAGCATTTTTGCTCCCTGCAGGGACCTACAGAGGAGGATCCTTTGTTGATCGCGGTCCTCAAGGATGTGCAGGCGAGCTACTTACCTGGGCTGATGAACACCGCTGGCCGACTTCTTTTCAGGACAGCTCACAGTCTTTGCTTCTGAAGATGAAGCGCATCGAAGAGGCCCAGAGCATGGCCCAAGCCCCAGACAGCAACACAATAGACTGGAGCGGCTGTGTGCCGGGGTCACTTGTCTTGCCATCTGCACAAGAGGTATAGACTTAGCCTTGAAAGTATCCGTGCGAATTCAAACTCCGGTGCCCCAGTAATTTGCATGTTGAGCCGCTGCTCGGCACAGTGTCGAAAACGGCGGCAAGAGGTTTGAGAAATATGCTTTGCCGTATGCTGGCAATGTTGCCATGCTGCATATGGCGCTCTTGGTCTTCGGTTTCGGGACGGTCGACACGAGTCAAACCAACTGGACTCATTTCCAGCCCGGAATCCAACAGCCCACTTAGATTCTTGAAACGCTCCCTTTGAGGTCAAGCGTTGCAAGGGCACTCGCCATCCTACGAACCTGGTGACGGATCGCGTGCGCCTGGTTATTGCTGCTGGGCTCCATTGCGTGTGACTCTCTGCTTGGAGCACGTTTGTCCCAGTGGTCTTCATCTGGCTCGCGCATGCTTTGGAGCCTGTGTGAGACGAGCAGTTCAGCTACAAGCAGTCTCCTCCTCATAACTGTGTATGTCTGGTGTATTTATATATATATGTGTGTGTGTGTGCATGTATGTATGTAATGTAATGTAATGTAATGTAATGTAATTAATGTATGTATGTATGTATGTATGTATCGGGCTTGTCGTCTTCTACTACCAATCGGCCAAGCCCTGACGCTGCAGACGCCGCTGCCACCAGTTTTCCTGTCAAATAAGGAGCGAAAAGCTTCGCTGCTGCGCCAGGCAGGGTCGTCAAGTAGTCATGTTGTTGTGCAGCTTGCCCCCGGCATGAACTGCGACTCGTTGGGTTGCGGCCGACGACTGTGACAAGGTCGAAGATCGGATGGCAGAGTTCCAGGCTTGTGTCGCAGTCTTGCTGTGTCACGAAGGCAGCAGAGACACGGGTTTAGTCTGTGCCAGTGAGTCATCAAGGAAGCCTAGCGTGCAACCTGCCATCAACAAATCTCGCCACATCTTCAGATATGTTGCGGCCTGCACAGCTCAGGACAAAAGTGCCTACACTAAAGTTCAACTGCAGGATAACTAGAGTCTAGAGTCTAGAGGTCTCCGTCGTCCAGCCTGGATCAACGATGGTCAACCGAGAACTCGACGACAGCTATGGAGCTTCCAGTGCAGAAGTCTACAGCTTGTCCATGCCATGGCATCATCTTGCCGAATGTGCCGTCGCAGCACAGGCACGCTTTCGAAATGTTGAGGCTGTTCTTGAGGTAGTAAGCCTGCGCTTGCCATCCTCGCTGGAGTGCTGACAGCGTCTGAGAAGCTCGCCTGTAGCTTCCCACATGGAGCACTGGGAGCATTGGACGTACGGACAGGATCGTCGGATGAAGCTTGGAGAAGTAGGAGGATTGAACAATTGGTGGCACGAAACTCCGATGGTATTGGGTGCATCCTGCAAATTCTTGCAACCGCAGAGCTGTGGTTTGGAGTGAGGTGACACATGCAGTTGCCTGACCCTTTGGAGCGTCAGGTGGTTCTTTCTGGCCCATCTCGATTCGGAATTGAAGGATTGCGATTGCGTTCAGACACATTCGTTGCACGAGCGCGATTTAACGTAGTTGCTGCTGTTCCGATATCCTCTTGCCCCCGCAGCGTGGATCACATGCTGTGTAATCATTGATTCACATCGGGGGTGTTGGGCAACACACGTGGGGAGAGATGCGAGATATTATGCCCGTATGGACCCCAAGCTGAGGAAGAGCACCACGCAGCCAGCATCAGCCAGCAACCACAAAACCTCTACTATACCTTGTACTTGACAACCCATACAGAGTGTTACTACTAACCATGCTCGGGTAATACAGCATCCAGCTGCATCCAATGAAAGGGCCAGCCATGAGTTCACAAGGAGTTCGCATAAGTGCATTCATCACAGGTGAAGGTTGCGCGAAATACCCAACACAATGCGAAGCCTTAGCACCCGAAACGCAGACCGCATGTCTATGGGTCCGTTGCAACGGGGGGAACTATATGCTGCCTCTGGAATCTAATTAACGCAAGGGTGGGGCCATGTGAGCCCCCAAACGAGGGGTGGTATAGCCTGAAACACCAGACGCAAAGGAGAGAGGGTTGTATGGCAAGTCTAAACATTCGTCGAGTTAGGGTCGAGCAGTTGTGCAGACTGCGGTGAACGTTTGGATCGAGACGCAACCAAGCGAGGGATTATCGACGGAAGAAACTGTCAGTTGCGCCAAGACTTGGAGTTGATTGTAGGTGAACTAATTAGCCCTCGAGGCCTTAGAGATCTTTCAAGAGGAGGATTAAATCGCTGCTCGTGACGGCAGCAGCGCGACGCGGCCTGCGCACAGAAGCTGGGAATTCCGCATCACGATGCCATGTAGGCACTGTGCGGCGGTGCATGGCTTCACTGCGCCCGGAGCACTGGCACAAGGAATCCTGCTGCAATGTTCCAAGGTCTCTTCTGGGACTCCAGAGTTTCTGGTGGGTTTGATGAGCTCGCATTGCCTCAATTGTACCCTGGTAGACATGGGTCAGCAAAGCGATTTCTAGATTAGGGATTTGTGTCTCCAGCTTGCAAGGACCCAGACCTTCTGGCAGCCTCCAGAGAAAGTGCTCAAAGTGCTGGGCAGCTGCAGCGATTCTGAGTGGAGGATTGGCAGTGCTCACAGCATGTTTCACATGAGGTGAAGGGTGGTGCCAAGAATGTACAGCAGGGAGGGGTGCGAAGGTAATCAAGCAAGTCATGGTCGTCACTGGATGTGACAGCTGCGAGAGCAGGAGACAGAGTGAGGAAGATGCTACTACCCAGAGACCATCGAGCCCCCCGCACTTGCATAGTAGCTATTAGCCGGGAGTGCACCTTGAGCCATCGAGCAACACTCAAAGTTTGAAAGCTCGGTTTATCGTCTTCAAGTGGGTCCCCTCATACTAAATCATAAGGGTGAGTAAGGTGTCTCCTTTGGCTACGGACACAAAGGATGGGTCGCTGCTGTGCTCGGCAAGAAGCTGCAGCGCAGCTCCGATGAGCAGGTCGGCGCCGGGATTGCAGCGGCTGCAACAGGGCTGTAGGATACCACGATGACCTTGATGCAGAAGCGGGGGAAATGCTCCAAGCCGCTGCCTGACAATTGCGAGGCTTCGCGGGCCTTCTGGCTTGCTCGAGAGCGGCGTTGCCAGGTGCACCGTGGGACTTGGGACCTGCAGCCTTGAAGAACATGTTACACAAGCGAGTCGCGAGTCGGAACTAGTACTGATGCCCGGCTAAAAGGCTGCTCTAGTGCCGTGAAGATCAAGCAGTTTTTACTATACATCCGGCGGATCATGAGTTAGGGAGTCTAAGTCGCTTCGACTGTGACGTTGCAAGCAGTTCATTCTTGCGACAGCTGATGGCAGATGCACGGCGGTACGAACGACTCTCCGATGGAGTTGATCCGAGGAGTTCTGTCGCGAAAGCAGCCCCTGAAGGCCCGCCCTCAAAATGCCTCAACTTGATGTTGGAACCGAGTCACCTTGCAAGATCAGGTGCGTTTGAGTCGTCAGCATGCGGTCGCTGGTAGAGTTCATGCGCACCTGGACCTAAGTCTCAACAAAGACTGGCGCGCAGGCAACTTCTCTGTACCTGCTGTACTGTTCTTCTGTCACCGCCAGCTTTATGCACTGCAGGCCCGCTGAAAGCAGCGCACTAAAATGATGCCTGCAGGATGTGAAACGAAGAGTGGACATCTGCGATATTCTCCGATCCTTTCGTTCAATGTCAGGTAAGTACCACTTCGGAGCATACGGTCATGCCACAAGATGATCACAGATGGAAGCTTGCGTAAGAATGCATTTGAATGCCGTGTCGGCTCCCTGCAAGTCCTGGTCGAGCCTGGGGCAACCTCCTGGAATCAGCGACAAGCTTGGCCTCAAGACACACTCAAAGAAAGACTTCGAACGATCACAAGCCTCGGACCTTAACGGTTGCGATCCTCGTCAGCACAGTGTTTTGGAGATGCATTACATTCGCTACATATGTGCAGGCACTACGCAGCTAGTGGCCAGCCGTGGTTCGTGGAAGAGGCAGTGACGGAATGGGGAGTGGTTAGCTTCCGCCATCTTCCTGATCCTGTGGCTGCCGCAATTGCAGTGCTCTCGTAGCCATGGTTGTGACCTAGCCGTGACATGAAATCTAACCGTCGTTCTGCCAGGTGGCACACATGGCCTCGGTCTCAGCTGCACACAATGGCGGGAAGATGTCATGCAACTTCAACAAATACACACTGAGGCACAGTACATCATGGAAAGCCTGCGGCCCAGCATTGCCCAGCCCTAGCCATGCTCACCCTCATGTGAATCTTTGCTGATGCTCACTCGAGCACATATGGAGTTTCCTGTAAGAGCTTGTGATCTTGCGGTGTGATACGGCATGCGGATGCGTGCAGGCCACGACGTGATGCAAACTTGCACTGGATTTTTGGCAACCGCGGCAGCCTTACAGTCAGCAGTCTACTCCTCTGCACTACAATCCTTTGCGCACTCGGTCATGGCGCGTCCGTCCCATGCGAACTCACTGCAACGGTGTACCGTGACACCAGCTGCAGGCGCTGTTCATGACATTGTCCTTCCGTGCCCTGAGTTACTCACGTTAAGTGGTACTGTTATGACACCACAGTGGTCGAAGCATGCCACCTAGGGGATCATTGCCCGTAGGTATGAACCGAGCAGCAACAAGATGGTGGCATGGACGGGAGATGTGTGCCCAGTTTTGCCCCATATCCGGCATGTGTAATTGCACGGCTGAGACCGTCTTGTTGGAGCCTTGGGCATGCCCATGGGTTTTGATTGCAAGGATATGCATATACAAAAATTGGAAGGTGCCAATTTGCTCAGCAGCGCGCGTTCCCTCGGCCAAGAGGCACAGCTCTGCTGCAATGACAAGGCCGGCACATCTGGAGCTTCCTTTCCAAGCTTGCACATTGCCTGTTTCATTATTTATCATTCTCTCTTTCGCTTTGAGTGCAGGCATCTGCGATGGAGCTCAGTCTGCTAGTGGCATGGCTGTGAAAGTGTGGCAATCCGTTTGGGGCGACTTTCCTGCTTCTCCATCCGCTCATGGAGGGCTATGCCTTCGTGCGATCCGCTGAGTTCCATGTGCGGCTGGAGAGCTCGGGTTGGCACATTGAAGGGAATGGGATGATGGCAGAGTTGACCTTAACAGTGGAATGCTCGTGCTTGCAGCAAAGTACATGCAGAACCGAGCTAGACGTGAGACGCAACAAGAGGAGCCGCCCGAACGCTATGTTGAAGCCTTCGTTTACTTGCTTCCAAAGCCGATCCTTGAGGCCCGCATTGCATTGTGCAAGAGCTGCAAGCAGAGTGCAAGGTGCAGTGCGTGGCGCCAGGATCTCTTGGCAGCTCCACACAGACCGTATTTTTTGACCCAGCGGCTGACCTCACGGCTTGCAGACGCGCAGGGCACCCGGAGGTTACATGTGATGGACATGACGAAGCTTCCTGCCACATCGGAGACGATGGATTCCAGGTATGATGCCGGCCACACGAAAAACGTGCGCTTGGCCAGCTGCCCCAGTTGATGCGCACAGAGGCACACCGTATCAAGTGATATTCTGCGTCCACTGCCAGATGTGCCCGAGTACGTCCAGACCGTCCAAACCATGCCGAATTCCATGCGAGCTGTAAAACATACCTTTTCGGACACTCGCAGCAAGACTTGAAGATTTTCCCAGAGCCTGCCCTCCCGCGGACCATGACGGAACCTGTCAACCGAAGTACACGCAACACATTGATTTGAAAGGAAGCAGCCGTCGTACCCTGGGCTTCCTTTGTGTCGCTTCGAAACATGATTGTGTCCTCACGCAACCGCTTCAAACGCTGTTGTAGCTACATCTAGCTTTCAACTTGAGTTTGGCTTGGTAGCCTGGCACGGCTCTCTTGACTCCAGCCTCCAGCTGCGATGCTTCAATTATCGTGCCGGTTTGACGGGAGGAGGTAACCTTAAGGCAGCCAGATCTTGTGGGCCGATTCGGTCGTTGCAAAGAGCTCAACGCACTGCGCAAGTAACTAGAGGCTTTCAGAAGCATCCGTCCAAGGTTGTAGCGGTCCAGAACCACGTGAACAAGTTGGCCCAGATCATGGAAGGCCGGCAGTAAGAGAGCAGTAAGCTAGGGTGGAAACCGCGGGGACACCACGGGTGGCATACGATCGCTGAAGGCAGGAGTTGAATTAATGCCGGGCAGATACCCATTTGGCATCGCATGTTTGGGCGCGCATTTGTTTTGGGAGCCTTGGTGGATTATCGTCCATATTCCTGGCTTGGCGGTGCATCAGACATGCCTGCATTCAGCAGCCGAGACATGGAAACGCTCCGCAGCACGCCGGAGCCGTGGGGATACCAGACACTTGATTCGAATATTGGGTTCTGGCGGCGACAGGTATAGGCAGTGGCCCGGGGTGTACATGTTTAGGAACCCTTTCTGTGTTGGTTGACTTCCTGTGGTAGTTTGAGTATCCGTTGTACTTTTCGCGAGTCATTGGTAGAGCGAGCCTTTAGTAACTTTAGTAACCTTTTCAGAGTCAAGTACTCGTAGATCTGAACTTGCCTTTGCGGTCCGTTTCATGTGCGGTCTTGAGGTCGGTTGGGGATGGCAGGAACAACGGCCCGTTCTCAAAGCCTAAGGTCTTTGTTGTCTTAGCTCCAGCATGCTGCCAATGGAACTGTGAACAAGAGGCTCGAGCGGCCAAGCGATCCCCAGCCCTTGGGACTCCTTAAAGACTGAAGATGTGCTCCGTAGGACAACTCTGCATGTCCTCTTCTTACCACAAAATCTACGGAACATCGTAACATTTGAGGGCACATGCCTGCAACAATTTATTAATACCCGGCATATCCCACTTACCTTCTCTATCCAAACCCAATATCTGGAAAACCCCCCCTTCCCGGCGCGATCGTCTTGATTATAGAATCCTCTCTTCCCGCCAATACGGATAATGAGGTTCAAACTGAACACGTCAGTGCCCCCTTCATTGTTGCTTACACAGATGGCTCCTGTCCCAATAATAGGATAGTGTCCTATGACAACCCAGCCGGCTAGGGTTTTACGGTCACTACCGCCCACTACCGCTATCAATCCCGCCACTCCATCCGAAGTTGACGATTCTTGGCTCCGTGTCTCGGGACCTGTTAAGACCAACTCCACAGACATCCTCCATCCCCTTCGAACCGGACTCTAAACATACTGGTGGACTTATCGAACTCTTGATTTTCTCCTCTATTACTCACCCCACCCCGACTTCGTACAAGTTGCTATATACACTGACTCACAATATGCCAATTCAATCCTCCAAGGGGACGACCTCCCCATCACACACCACCAACTCGTGACAACTGCCCAGAGATGCTACACGGCCAGTCGCTGTAAGCACCGCGCTACCATCCTAAAGGTCGCCTCCCACGTAGGCGTTCCCGGTAATGAGCTGTCTAATCCAATTGCCCAGCGCGGCGTACACCTCAACTAACGCAGTGCAGCGCCTTCCTCCCCCGCATGTTGCCTTCAACCAGACACACAGGACTTCGAAAACCCTAGTGAACAGGATGCCATCCTCACTGACTCCATCAAGGCAAATCTCTCGCTCATACCTTTGCTCCCTCAGGCCGCTAAAAGACCATGGATATCCGGTGAAACTTTTAAGTGCATCGACTGCTTTCAAACACTAGATTTACTGATATGCCTACAGTCAAAAGAGCTCAACAACAGATTAACAAACCGTCCATAAAGATAAAAACAGCTTTATAGCGCAAAATCTCTTTCCCGACTTTCAGAGTAGCCCGGTTCAACGGTGGACCCAGGCGCGGCAAATTCGCGCTGATTTTAAGCCTCACTCCACTGGATTACATAATGTTAACGGTAAACTAGTCTCCTGTTCTCGACGCGCCAATACTTTTGCGGAGTATCTTTCTACAAAACATGGCACTCAGCACAGGATCCACCAGCCTGAGCTCCCTCTATTCACTCACCGTTTACTATGCAGGATTTAGACGACGCTCTGCTGAAACTCAAGCCTGGAAAGTCCTCAGGACCCAATGACATTCCCGGAGAAATTCACAAACACGCTTCGTTTAGTCTGAAGCTTTACCTCCTTGATCATGTATATGCAACCACTGTTACGCTCAATACTCCATCCCCGATTCCTGGCTGTTCTGTGAGGTGGTAATGCTTGTTAACAATCACCAAAAAGATATGCGCCCTTTCAAATTACCGCCCCATTTCTCTCACGATTGTATCATATGAAATTTCGCCTCCGTGCTCCAGTCCCGACTCGAGTCTCGCGTTGACCACCGTATCCGTCCCACCCAATACGGATTCAGAACAAATAGATCCACCGCTCAGCCCATTCATGTCATGCGTCGTCTCCTTGAAGTGTTCGAACGACAGAATACAGCGTTCCACACTTATTGGTCCAAGGCCTTTGACTCGGTAACCTTCACAGCCATTCAGGCCGCTAATGGAGCACGCCGGTATACCAGCCCACACCCGTCGGGCAATTTTGGCCCTATGCAATACCCCAACCTTCATCGTCCGCGACTCCTCTCAAAAATCCTCCCTGCAGACCCAAACCAAAGGCCTCCGGCAAGGATGTCCACTATCACCCTGCCTCTTCAGTCTTGTACTTACTCACCTTTTTATGATGTTCAGAATACCTACCAAAATTTATACGGTGAAATTTCGGGAGTTTTTTCATGTCCCCTCCCCCCTGTGGGCCTTGGTATGCAGACGACACTGTTCTCCTCTCTTGTTCGGCCCCGCAACTCAATCGATTCTTTCATTTCATTCAACATCATGGCCTCAAAAGGGGCCTTACTTACCCTAAACCAAGACAAGTGTGAATATTTACGTTGGCATTCTGACCAGAAAATATACGTAGTACCCCCACTCTTCTAACCATGTGACTGTCGTTTTTGTTCTGGACACAATCATGATCTTTCGCCTGTCCCGTTACCAGACGAAGTCACGTACCTCGAGGTTTACCTCGACTCTCTCTCTCCAACCGTAAGAATCTTAGCTATAGACTATAGAGCATCACAAGCAGTTACCGCCTCCCTTCCTCCTCCGTGGAAACTGACAGTGCACCGATCTATTGTTCCATCCATCCTTACTCACGCTATGGACGCGCTTTTATCCCCGGCACGGATCCAAAAAATGAACACCGTTCACTTTAAGTCTCTTCGCCGCATATTTAAAATCAAATCCTCGTTTTGTTCATAGGGTTCTTGAACCGTCCACGGCGGATTACTGTAACGAAACTTGACACATCTCGCCGTCTTCACGCGTCGCGTTCCCAGCACGTCATAACTATACTCACAACAAAGACTCCAGCTCTTAGGTCACTTGTATAGACTCTATGGATACGTGGATACGCTGGAATACCAAGTTACGTTTATGGGCTCCTATGCCTGTAGACATGTCTCCTCTCCCAACCGCTCTGGTCGGCCATGTCTGCATTGGGCGGAATCTTGCCTCACAGAAGCAGCCCAGCACATTGACTTTATGTTATCTGACCCGCCACCCTCCCATGCCGACATCCACAGTGAATTTTCTCCATTCCCACCTTCTATCAGATTCAAACAGCCCACGGAACACACGGAACAACTTCTCTAATGCGGATGGACAATACTCCTGCACCGTAAGGTGCCGCCGTTCTTCCAGAACCGCGAGAGCTGGCGACTGCTCACCCATAAACCCGGCCTGCATAGTTATCGTGATTATAATCCTTAGTAACCTAACTTTTGACTGCAGTCGGTGCTGACGGGCAACAAGCAGCTGTGCCCTGCGCGCTCCAAAAACTACATGACAAGTTTGCTGATGAATGAGTACAGTATCCTTGAAGCCAGCCGCGATATTCAGGCATCAGCGAGAGTGCCAGTACGGTGGGATAGACCATAGTAGCAGATAAGGGCGTCGTGCTGTTGTGTCCATTGCCGCTCAAAATCCTCTTGTTCCAACCTGCTCCACTTGCACGACATGGCCGTTGTACCACGTCGTCTTACTGCTTGGCGGTTAGCGAAAGCATGAAAACCACGATAATCAACACAAAAGTCCCACATAGGTGAACGACGGAATGAAGAAACTCAACAGAATCCTTGATGAATTCCCTTTCTGCCGCCTTGATGTCAGAAGATGTCAGAAGCAAGCCTACAAGGGGCTGCGTGTGCCTCGATTCGATTTGCCGCTGGCCTTTCCAGATGTAGGCAGGAGCATGTCGGGCATTTTTGAGCCCAATTTCCTGATTTGCAGCCTCCTCAAACGTGAACCCAATCACACCTACCCAGCATGAAGCGAGATTGCCGAAGTAAATGGACGTTTGAAGTTTCGGGTGGACAGAGTATAAAAAAACGTGCAAACGGGAACTTCTAGATGAAACAACACCTAGTTGCTGGCCAATTTATAGCGAGGTCACCCGAGGTCACCTGAAAATAGTGGAATTAACGACCCGACCTGACTTGAAATTAAGCTGCCGACCTGACTCTTATTTCGTTCGCATCGTACGCTGCCCTCCGAAAGCTATTGCAAAAGACCCAGAACTATGTGTTAAATGATATGTAGTCTAAAAATTAGGATGCAGCTGGTCAGATGATGGAGGACAGCCGAGGGTTCAAGAGTGGAAACGAGTCAAAAGCCCAAGCCTAGTCAAGATGCGCGTTGAGCTTGCTAAGGTAGCATGGAACAAGGACTACAACCACAAAAAACAGGACTAATTCATTGAAAAAGGTCCTTTTTGGGGGTTTTGAGTCTGTCTGGGCTTCTTTTGGAGCTTTGAGCTTTCCAAAACGGCTGGAGCCAGGAAAACCACCAAAACAAGCCTATTTCAATGAAATAGGTCCGTTTTGGTGGTTTTTGGGTGTTGCCATGAGGCGTGGAACGAGAAAACCACGAGAACAAGTTTTAAGGTTTTAGGGTTTAGGGAGGAACACCACCAAAACAAGCCTATTTCAATGAAATAGGTCCTTTTTGAGGGGTTTCTGGGTGTTGCCATGGGGCGTGGAACAAGAAAACCACGAGAACAAGTTTGTATAGGCTCCTTTTGAGCTTGTCAAGGTAGAAAACCAATATTCATTGAAATGGTACCTTTTTGGGGTTTTGAGCTCTAATGAAGAACCACGAAAACAAGCCTGCTTCAAAGTAGGCTCTTTTTGTCAACTGCCTGCACAGAGCCAGATCATGTGAGCGGAATTTAACAGAAATAAACGACCCGACCCGACCCGTGAATGTAGCGAAACTAGCGACCCGACGCGACCCGACCTGACCCTAAATTGGGGAACGAAATTATTCTAAATTAGGCAGCAGTTAGTCGGAGAAACAAAAAACAAACTCGTGAACGTCACATTGTGAGAAGGGTGTCTGGTTGATCTTGGTCACGATTGAAGGTGAAGAAGTGCAGAAGTGGATTGCAAAAACAAATCGAAGACTGTGCTCATACTGGTCCTTGTCAACACGAAAGCCTTCGTGCCCTGTTGGTTTTTTGGGGACCACACCATCCAGAGACAAGGAAGCACAATGCGCTCTTGATGCAGCTGTGGCTCGCGATATTGCCGGTCGCATTAGTCGCCAGCTTATTGTTTGCAGGCAATTGCACACAATGACATGTGCCGCTCTGACGATACGCGCGCTCAGCTGAGACCCCGACATTGCTTTGGGCAACGCCGCTGCTAGGCGGAAACCAAGCATCATCCAGCTAGCCGTAATTGCAGTTGCGCCCAGAAAGTAGCTCAGTATCACTTCTGATTGCAGACAGTCTTATATGCCTTGGCGTCCTACAGATGATCCAGGCTGTATATGTAGTGCACCACATCCGGCAGGCGCCTCCATCGGCTACGCGGTGTACAAACTGGACCGTCGTATAGAATCGTAGAAACCAGACATTCAAGTGACTGGTGATCGGTTGCTGAAACGAATACATGCTGATGAGTCACGCTCCTTTCATGACAATGCGAGTCGCGCCCGTTCTACGCAAAAGGCGATTGGAGTCCGGCCTTCAAGGCCTGCAACAGGCCTTCATTCAGAATATCGCCTCAATGCATTTCATGGCTTCAAACCTCTGCCGCCGCTGCCGGAAGTTTCCAAGGCCCGAGGTATCCCGAGGTGCACGTCGGAACTCATAGCCGGAGCACTCAGACCTCCGCATATGCGGCCTGTGGTCCAAGAAGCGCCCGTAGTGCGAAATACTGTTTGCTAGAGTGTATCCCTGAGTTGAAGGTGTTCTTGGAGAGGGAGTCGGCATAGGCCCAATTGGTTTTGGGAATAATTGCTTGCTATGCTGGGTGTTCAAACTGTTTAGATGCGTCATGCGAGAGGAAGACGTGGCCGTTGAGATTTGCAACCCCTTCGGAATGGACAACAGCGTCATTCCCTCGGCCAAGCTATTGAGAGCACATGAGAGGGTTGTTGTGGCAGAGCTTTGAATGTCTGATGGCATGTCGGGTGAGCATGATGCAGTTGAAGACACTAGGACACTAATCACTAATCATTGAGAAAAGTCGCTGCATGCATGCATCCTCTGCAGCTCTCAGAAATTGCTCGGCTGCAGTCGACACCCAAAAAAGAAGCTCCGGCAGTGCAAGCTGTCTTTCTGCTGATGTCACTGTTGCAAATTGCAATCATCCTGCTTGCAGGACATAAGCTTGTGCATCATGAACGACAGGTCCACCCCCAAGCCGTCCTAAAGAAAGCAGTGGCACTTTGAGGCTTTGAGTCGATGGGCCGGCTGTTCTGGATGCCTTGTTCTTGGTCAGGTTTCAGCAGGAGTTGTTGGCAGCGCTGCAGACTTGGCTACAGCACGACAGCCGCGTTTCTGTGGCTTCGGGCTGAGAGATTGAAGCACATCTCGGGTTCGCTGCCGTCGATCAATGTGCTGATGTCTCAGGTCATCCCGCAGCTTCCAAGTGAAGTAGCTGAGAAGATGGATGAAGTGTGCCTAAAAAAACCTGCATTGTGTCGGTTGTGCGTCTACTTCGCTGTGTTTGGGTGACATGTTCTCCTGCGAAGGCTGCGCAGGCCGACTCTGAGCAAATTCTTCGAAGCCTCGTTGAGCGTGGAACTGCGGCTCCGGAGGCTACAGCGAGGGATATCCGAAGTAAGACTTTGAGCAAGTGTGGATTGGATGATTCAAACTCGAGTGTCACTCGTACTCAGGAGCTGTACGGCGTTCGCCAGTTCGTGCGAAGCTTTACACACCGCGGGAATCCTGCCAGAAACTTATATGTGTTGCCCGGCGTGGTACGGGTATGTCTGGGAGGCCGAGTCTTCGGGCCAATCCAGTCGCAGCAGGGCTTGTTTAAACCATTTGCTGCCTTGTAATGGACCGCTACAGACTTGGATAGGAGAATGAAACGTACCGACTAGGCCGTGCAATGAAGGCAAAGGAATTCAAGATTTGCTCAGGCGCAGTCAGGGGCCAAAAATGACCAAGCCGTGCATTCCTAAGCTATCGAGGCCGAGGCCGACCGCAAGAACTTCCGGCAGTTCGCATCCACTTTTAAACTGCCTGGCCAGCCGCGGACTCGGCCGAGCACTGCTGCACGCAGGCAGAAATTTGACAGAAATGTAGGGAGCAGTTTGCAAGAAGCAGTTCAAAAGAATCTACCTATGTAGGGCCTAGGGTCTTAGGGTGTCTTCGAGGTTTGGGGGTTGTGGCATGCCACAGGCTTTCGGACGTTGACAGCCCACACTGCATTGTCAGAGGATCGGCTTGTGCCCTCTAGGCACAAGCTTCTCGAGGGGTTTCAAGACATCGCCGCGGAAGCTGGTGCTTGGTGTGCCTGGCATGCTTGCGAGATGCCAGTCCGGCCACGAAGGATGGGTACAAAATGGCACCAGTGTTGCGCATCATTACGTACCAGCGGTCGTTCTTTGGTGTTTCTGTGCTATTGGCTTTGCGACGAGGCGTCACGAAAGCCTCAAGAAAAACAGAAAATGTTTCGGCGACCTGCCACGCATCGTTTTGGAGTTTTCAGGCTCGAAAAAGCTCCAAAATATTGAGACAAGATTTCGGCTTGAAATTTGCAGGCCCTGCACACTGATGAGCCAGAGGGTTTCGACGCCCTGCAGCTTATCATTTTGGAGTTTGCGGGCCGTGATTAAAAGCTACAGAATGTGCCAAAGCCGCGGCCAATCATTTCGTTGTTTTGACGTGTTCATGTCCGTAAGGTCCACTGTGATGAGCCAAAGGGTTTCGGCGCCCTGGCTCATCATTTTGGAGAAGTCGTTGTCCTTGGGTCATCGACAAGTTTGCATTATCCTGCATTCCTTAAAAGCCTCTTGCTTCCCCACTTGGCAGGCATCAACCTCGACTTGCAACCCCGTCCCCTGCCGCTTGACAAAGCCAAGGCCCTCCCGAAAATTCTGACCGGAACATTGGGCCGCGACGCAAACCTCGAAGTCGAAGTCGAACTGGAGCTGAAACATGTGGACCAAATTGTGCACCCGTCTTGCGAAAACGCCAGCAAAAGCACAAGTTTGAGAAAATGACCAGTGCGTCCAAGCACCGAGCCATGCGCTAGAGTCTCTAGCGCTGTTTGCTTGTCAGGCTGATACACATCAGACTTTGTCCTCAAGTGCGAGTTTAGATGATGAGAGAAGCTTCGGAGAATGTGTCTTGGAATCACAGGTGGGCGGAAAAGGCTTACCAAGAAGCAATCGCTGGCCAGAGCCACAGCAAGCGACACGGACCACACTGTAGTGCCTCCTTTGTTCTTCCCTAATGCATGTCGACTGGTGACCGGGCTGTCAGCTGTTCTGCAAGACGCAATGTGCCGCGATTCACTCACGTTCACAGCAGCGTCTGCAGGATCGAACGAATGCGGTGCGCGTCCGAATCTATCCTTTGAGTTACTAGGTGCGGGTCACATCCCCATCATGCAGCTGATGGAATTGGCCGCGCAGCCCTCAAGAACGGTTGCAGCATTGAAGACGCCAATGCCTAGGAGTTCATGTCTTGTTTAAAGCGGTTGGACAAGGTCGAAAGTGTCAGTCATGAGGCGGCTTTCGACTGCCCTTGGGATGTTCTGTGGCAATAGATTTCCGTACCTATTTATCCCTGCACAATGCAGTCATAAAGAGGCCGGCAGCACCTGTCCACCGACTTCTGTTGCTAAGGGAATAGGCGACTCCGCCTCGAACATGACAGCACAAGACCGTCAATTTGTCTCGGCAACTAGATTAACTAGATGGTCCTGGTTCATGATGTTCATGATGGTTGAATTCCGGCAAGGGGAAGGAGGAAGATGGGCGGTGACAAATCGAAACGGGGCAAATGATGAGCAATGCGGGAGAGAAGCCCGGGGAGGGCGGGCTACCCTCAGTGACCCCGATTTCCGGAGCATCACCTCATCTAGTATGCTACACAAACTGGTGGCTCGCATGCTCCTGTTGTGTGTGTTGCCATGCCCGTGAAGCCAATTCTGCCGCCACAACAAAAGCACTCCAAGCTTCACCTAAGCCCAACAGCCTGCGACATTCCTGTAACCCCACACCTTGTCTACACCATCAAGCCCACACACAGCTCCGAACATCTTCGCCACTAAGCATCCAAGCCGTCAAGCCAACTCTGTCAGTGGCCTGAGGGGGTGACAGGAGAGCCACTGAAAGAAACACAAAACTGAAGTACAGTATGCAAACTTCAAGTAGGAGGAGCTTGAAAATCCACAGAGTCTTTGGAAGAGACAGGCACTGTAAAGAGACGCACGCAAAACTGAAGTATGCATCCCTCCAGCAGGAGGGGCTTCAAAATCTCCAAAGCCTGTTAGAACAGACAAGCACTGTCAGGCAGCTACAGCATACATATTTCATCGGCCTCAACCGATCAGATTCCAATCCCCGACACTGCCCGTCACCTGCTAAATGCATCTAAATGCACGGTGTCCAGCATCTGGCTGGGACTGATTCTTACGATGAGCCAAGGAAAACAGTTTTAGACGCTGCAACGCCATGCTTTAACGAGAGCTCCTCGGAGGGACGGTCGTTCTTTACTTTTCATTACTCACACTTGCTCGCCGGGTTGGTTACGCTGATGCTGATGCTGCTGGTGTGATCTTCTCTTAGGCGTGCCCCCGCGACTCGCGCGAAAAAGCATGACAAAACTGGCTTCTGACAGCGCTTCTCCCATCCCTCCACAAGAAAACATGGGCAGCTTTCGTCCCGTGTGCGTGTGTGTGTGTGTTGGTTGGTTGGGTGTTTGTGTGTGTGTGTGTGTTTTGGTTGGTTGGTTGGTTGGTTGCTTGGTTGGTTGGGTGTGTGTGTGTGTGTTCTGGTTGGTTGGTTGGTTGGTTGGTTGCTTGGTTGGTTGGGTGTGTGTGTGTGTGTTTGTTTGTTTGTTTGCGTGTGCGTGTGTGTGTGTGTTGCGTGTTTGTTGTGTGCGTGTGTTGTGTGTGTGTGTTGCGTGTTTGTTGTGTGCGTGTGTTGTGTGTGTGTGTGTGGGGGGTTTGTGTGTGTGTGTGTGCCAATCCTGTCTCTAAGGAAGTAGTATTCTTACAGTTTCCTTGCAGCCAATCAATAGCAGGGGGATGCCCCACACCTGAAGAGTGGGCATCTAACAAAGAGGCTCTTCAGAGTGTGCTGATATGGTTCTGGGACGCTGGAACCACGTACCTGCTTTCGGATTAGCCAGTGGGCCCCCTGTGGCACTGGAGAGAGAAAGAAAGAATACAATGTAATGATCTAGCACAAGCAGCATCCACCTAGGTAAGGATGACTGGTGTACAAG